ACCCGAAGCACACATTTGTTTCCTTTGTGCACCTTCAACATCAATGTAAATTGTCTTTTTTTTTATTTTTGTAAAAAATAGTGCTAATTAACTGTCTGAGTTGGTAAATTGTTAATGCAAGCTTGCAGTTTCAAACCTTCATCTAGGTTATAGGGTAGGTCATATCGAGAACGGCTGGAGGTGGCCTCCATTCCAGCCTCTTGAATGTCCTCTCTTGTGGTTCCGAGGCCGAATTTATTGCGAACCCACTGTACGGTGGGTTTCTGAACTCCTGGACCGGTGTCTTGAAACAGGCTCACGCGTAGGCGACAGGCCAGGGTGAAGGTGCTGTTGAGGGTCACTGATTGACTGACCGGCTGTTGGAGGAAGTAGTCACCACTCTCGTCTGTCCAAGTTCTCGGCACCGTTGTTAGGAGGATGCAGAGAGTAATGTAATGCAAGGCTGAAAAGGAAGACATGTGCTTCGCCAACCAGACAGGACAATAAGACCGATTTTGAGAAGAGACTATAGTGAAATGTATATAATAATAACAATAATAATGTGCATAGATTTGCTGGAATTTACAGGTGGTTGATAACGGAGGCCTAGTAGAGAACCATCTGTCTGATATTATCTTTTGTTTAAATAAGAGGACGAGTGGGGTAGAAAGGGACGAGAAGGGGAAGGGGAGAACGGAAAACAGCATAAGATAGACAAAACAAACAAAAGTAGGGCGGATTACTGAATTTTGAGGATATTTTTAGCCACTTATACCAACTTATCTTTTTTGTGTTGCGTGCTTTGTGTTTACCCACTCTCGGTGTGTGGGTATGCGTCTAAGTTACAAATTCAGCCAATTGTTAACCACTCTGTGCGAATAAATGAGTAGCATGGTATACTTTATAGAAGTATTGTTTAGCCAACAGCTTACAGGTGAGTTGTAGATGCGCGTGGTTCATTCTCCTATTGCCTATTCACCATAAACCGGCCAACGGGATCTGAGCTACAACCAAAAAACCCACCGTCAGTAGTGTCAAATTGAGGTGTTGAAAGGTAACCAATTAAGCCATCGTGCCGTCATGCCACCATGTTAACTTGAGAGCCTGTCACAACCTACTGACAAGTCGGCTGACATGATGAAACAAAATTAAGGAAAGGAGGGGAAAAAAGGTGGGACGAGTGTTTGGTTTAAATTAGAACTGACGCATGTGAGAGAAAGCAAATTCGACATACTGAAGGCATACAAAGAGTCCACAAATGTATCACCTCGTGGTGGATGAGACCGATGCTAGTGCTAGGGCGAGAGTGGTTACCTGGCTAACACCTAGCTCGAATATTATGCAAATGAAGGTCACAGGTGTGTGAGAGTGTGTGTGTGTGTGTGTGTGCCACTCTCCAACCAATGCATTGTGACCTGCAACCATTTGCATACTTATTGTAGCCATAGTAATGCTGCCTCTCCAGTGCATATGAGGGGCTGTCCACCATGCTTATGGAGGGAGTAAAAAGGGCACTGTCATGCACATATCAGCCTTACGTATCTTTGGGAGGAGGAGGAGGAGGAGGAGGAGAAAAGAAAAACAGTCAAGAGTGCATCTACCTTAAGAGAATGCTTGGTATTAATCATATCCATTCTTAAGTGCCGATGATTTGCAGTCCTGGCTGTATTTGGGACACATTAAAAAGGGGAGAAAAAGTGACAAAAAGAATTGAGTTTTTACTTTGGAAAGGAGTTTGATTGTTAAGTGGAATGCCGCATTATATTGCAATGAATTGAGGTGCCGAGGTTTGTCACTCTCTTCCACAGTGCTACACCATTGTTGCTAAAGGTCAAAGCGGGTGAGGGGCATAAGGTAAGGAGTGGACGACAGACAGCTAGTTAAAGTGGTTGTCGTCATAATTTTATCCACTTACTACACACTCTTAGTCGGTGTTCAGTGCGGGCATGCATATCACCTCTCACCCTCATCAGACTGCTCCCTCCTTCGCTTATTTGTGCAAAAACAACGAGTGAACGATGGGATAGGAAAGTCCTTCTTGGGAGACGGTAAGAGAGGTGAAGATACGAGTCGTACAGAATTATGTCTTAAAATTCTACTGGGGCAGAAGAGTCCAATAAAATGGAGGCGGTGAGAGGTGAGGGATAGGGCAAAAAAAAAAAGCTACTGCCGTGATCTTCGTTCCATTCTTATCCCCCTTCTCCTCTGCATTTTCCTAATATTTACTTAAGTGATGATTATCTCCAATTCTGACATTAAACAATCATAGGGTAAATGGACAGTTGGGAGAGGCGAGAGAGAAAGGCTGAAGTGGAGGAGAAAATAGAAATTAGAGGGTTGTTTTTTTTCCCTCCAAAAGAAAACAATACCTTCCCAAAAAGTCGATTTTTTTGTACACAAACTTCTCTCTCTCTCTCTCAAAAAAATCCTTATTTTTTAAGGCTTATTTGCCTCTACGTCGAATTGCCTTCCTCCTGTCCCCTTCCTCCCTCTCCTCTCTACACCCCTCGGTCCGCCCGCCCACCCGTCCCCCACCCCACCCCCCACTTACCCTTCACCCACCACTCCGCATCCCTTTTCAACGCCTAAAAGCAAATACTCCATCTGATCAAAAATCTCTTTTCGGACACTGCCTTGCTTAATATTGTGCAATCTGCAAGGCAAGTTCTTTCCCAACTTATTAATTAATTATGCCTTAGGCTAAAATTATCCTCTCTTGTGATTCCCAAATTTACAGGCCTTTTCCCAACACCGAACCAAAATGTGCTTCCACATTTCCCAATTAAAGGGATAAAAAGACTAAAGTTGAAAAGGAAAAAAAAGAGTTGTGGCTTTACTTAATGAATAATGAAGGGATTATGAGTTGGCAAGCGGAGCAATGGGTGAAGGGAGAATTTTTTTTGTGCACCACACCTTTTATCTGGTCCGCGCTCACGTCCTCCTCCTCGCCCCCCCCTCCCCCGACCTTCTTAACATTGACTCGCACCTATTGTCTGGCCTCAGCCTTCTCTGCTTGCTTACCGTCCTCAAATTCGTGTCAAAAGAAGGCAAAACGTGTAAAACTTTACTAGTTGAATAGTGCCTTACTTGAACTGCATCCCTTAAAGGCCTCTGTAAAGGAGGGCAAAACAGCACCCCCAAAGTTAGTAATGTCAAAATTTGCCATGTCTTATTAATAAAGTGTTCAAAGCGGAGGCTAAAAAAATGACACACTGTGAAATAACGTGTAGCGTGGAGGTAATGAAAACAATAAAATGCATGACAAGGGTACTTTTAGCAGGGAAGAAAGGCAGTACTCACTTTAAGTGGATGGGAAAATATGAATAAATCCGACTTTATAAGGGAGGATTGCTGAGAAGCCGAGAGAAAGAGAGAGGGTAGGCTTACATCGGAGATAAGTGGATGTGAGAAGTGAAGGAAGTCGGTCGCCCGGTCGCCCACTCGCTGGTTCGCACACACGCGCACCCACACCCACACCCACACACACACACACACACATGTAGGCACCCGGCCGCACTGTCTGCGGGGAGCCGATTAAGCGATTTTGCTGCTACTCCTGCTGCTGCTACTGCTTCTGCTACAGTTGCTGCTACTGCTACTTTTACCGTTCTACTGCTACGCAGTCGAAGCGTTTCATTCGCGCGCCCGCCATTATGTGACCGATGCGCGGCGTGTGCTTGCGTGTGTGTGTGTGCGTGTGCGTGGGTGTGTGTGTGTCTGTGCACATACTTGCGTGTGTGAGTGTGCGTATGCGTGCCTGGCCAAGCATTTGCCCAGAATGCGGAACACACATTGTGCGTCTGCAGGTGGGAGGCCCACAAAGCCAGTAGCAACAGCCTCGACATTACCAACTTTTGTGAAACAGGTGGGTCTAAACAACTCGCTCTAACCAAACTCATTTCGTCTTCTTGTGGAAAATTGGAAGGGGCTAAAGACTATCCTTTTAAGCAACTAGGAAAACTAGTTTTGTGATTTAGAAAATGGCAGAAAAATTGTAAGGATGCTGCGGTCTCTCATAAGGCTCGTCTTTCCACCAACGACTGCTCAGTAATTCCAATTAGCAAAATGTGTCGCTTTTTTAAACTACCTCCTTTTTATTACAAATTTTGGATGCACTACTGTTTTGCGCCTTCATTTTCACTATGTGGAGGGGTCAGCGTCAAATGTAAAGTGTCGGCCGGGGAATAGAGGTCACAAATATTTGCTAATTGTAAATTTAGAGAAGAAAAAGTGGCACCTTCGAGACCCACTGCTCAAAAACTGGCTAATATTATACAATTTACTTTCAATCTCAATGCAGGCACAAAGTGAAGTAGGCAGCAAAACCGCCGAGCTTTACCAGATTGATGGCCGAGGTGTTCTTTATTCGAGAATCATATTTTTAAAAAATGTGACTTTAATTTACGATTCCTCCAGAGCCTTTAATTTCGCTGACTTTGATAAAAGTAGGAGCAAAATGTTCGACGCATGAGGAGAAATTAGACTAATCGCTGGAAATTGCAGATCACCACAAAAATTTTGCCATTTTTTGGCTCCAAATTGGATGTAGACGCAAATGCCAACGCGTGCTCATATAAACAGCGATATAAAGTTAGACATGTTCGTTTAAGTACACCGCAGAGGTGGCAAACGGGTGGATTGGAACAACCTCATGACCGAGGCGGCGTCATCGATCTACGCCGCTGGGGTTGGTGGACAGGGGGATTGAGTGGGAGGTAAACTCCGATCCCCTTACCTCATAAAACCTCGATCATTTGTGAAATGCCGCATTGCCACATCAGGCGATGCCCTTCTCCATTAAATCTACCCCAATCGGAGTGAATTGTATCAATTGCCAAGACAACATTTAAAATGACATGGCAGTGTTGGTAGATTTGGAGGACCCAATTTCATCCTTGTTTTTGCCTTGTCTCTACTTGTGGTCGAATGTTTTATCTCTGTATGTTAGTAATTACTTAGAAAAACAATGTGCTACTCACTACATTTCAGCGACCAAGTCTTAACGATCCTTTGCATTAAGGTGAGGTAACAGTGCCTTAGGCTTCAATCAAAATCGAAATCATTTTATTTTGCTCCCATAGGGCTTCGCAGCCAAAAAACCGCTTCATGATTCTCATGTATCTGCTCTTGGTACAATATACTACTCACTGCATTTAAGTCACCAGAAAATGGTAAGCCCTATACCCGTTTGACAAGGACATATAATCAGAAGGAAAAAAGTTGTTTTGTTAACTCCAAGATTTAATTTGACTTCATTTTTAATTGCCAGAAGTGGTGTGTAGTTGGAGGAGGAATTTATGTATTATTTATGCCTGTTATGTGGCGTTACATAACTGAATGCATGCACCATTGATGCAGGAAGTCCTGTCCTCTCAATGCAGCAAATTAATTTACTGTAGCCTATTTGTGTGTGTGTGTTTGTGGTTTTTGCATTACCATGCGGAATACATTCATCTCCAAAAGTGAAGCCAAATGGAGG